ACCTCCTCCCCCGCGCCCCGGTCGGACCGGCTCCGCCGCAGTGAGCGGGGCGGGGCAGGGGGACCAGGAGCGCAGGGGGAATCGCCGCAGCGTTAGAGGACCCTCCTGAGGTCGGAGCTGGGGGTGGGGAACTTCGGAGTGGACCCGACAGGACCTCCTGGTGCGGGTCTGAAGTCCCTGCTAGGGTGCTCGGGATAACAGGGGACCTGACATAGGGAGAGGTCGAGGAAATAGGGCAGGACACCTTCGGAATGGAAGATTGAAGACTGCAGCCGTTACACTGAGGGTACCCCTGCCTGAGAGGGATCCCAAGGTTTTCCGGGTAGTTAAGCGGCTCTAGGGACAGGGGCTGCAGAGACTGCCGCCGGCCCGGAATAGGGGACAAAGTCAGGCAGTCCTAGATGGGGGCATGGTAAACGCTACAAAGGCTAGGTGGAGGCCCCCTGGCCGCAGGCACGGAGTTCCGCTAAGAGCTAGGGCGGCCACCGCGAGAGGGCTCAAGGAAGTTTGCAGCCGGCTCCGGAACAGGGGAGGGGGACCTGGAATTGGAAGGACCGCAGCCTACCTTGAATGGGGCCCTGGGAGACACCGCAGTGGATGGAAAAGGGATTCCTGGGAGGGGAGAGGGGGACACTTTCCAAAAGGTCTACCGTGGCCCCTAAGATTGGAGGTGGGAGACGGTGCAGACCCGGGGAGGGGAACTCTCAGGCAAGGGACAGGAACTTGAGGTGAGTATGAGAGCCAGAGAACACCCACGCCGGGCTCTGCATGCTGGGGTCAGCTCTGTGTGCTGGTAGAATGACCTTGGACAAGTTTCCTGCCAGGCCTCTTTTTCCCATGTGTACAACTAGGGGGTCTTTCCCCGGGGACTCGCTGCAACTTCAGACACCCCGACTGCCCCCAGGAGCTTCCGCTTTGGAGGTCTCCAGCAACACTGGGGGAGGGGAAGTCACATACTGTCCGTGGATATAGCAGCCGCTTTTCCACAGTCAGAAAGTCCGTCTTTCTCCTTCCTCTGCTCCCCTCAGCTTCAGCTCATCATCTCCCCTACCCCCACAACAAACGGACACATCTGTGGCATCCTTGTTGTTCTCAAGATAGTGGAAGCTTTTCTCGGTACCAAAGTCCCGCGTCACTATAAAAGCCTCACTGCGGGGTCAGAAAGGAGTTCCGCAGATTTAGGGGGCCTGCCACTGCTTTGTAACTCGCATCTTCCTTGCTTTTGATTCATGTCAAATACTTTGGGAGTGGGAGCGGCGCTGCGGCGGTCAGGATCGTTCCAGCACCGGGGACAGAGCCTACTCTTCGCTGGGGAGAAAGAGGTTAAGGTCTGCCTTTACCTTGGGCGGAAGGGAAGGAGATGTGCTAGCCCTTTCTGGCGGTACCCCCTGTGCCGTACAGATGGGAACTGAGGAGGGGGTGGGTGACTGAACCGGCAGGGTCCTACAGTGAGCCAGGAACCCATCCCTGAGTATTCTGTTAGGGGTCTAGTCCCTTTTGCTGTGAAGTTCATGAACCTGGGCTGTCCCCTTCCTCCACTGAAGTTAAAAGGACCATTCGGGGAGCCCAGACACCCTCTGGGAATTAGTATAAATAGCCCCCTCCAGGTCTGAGCCTTCCCCGGGCAGTTATCTTAACCTCCACTGCCCCCCAAGTTGCTCTCTTTTTTTTTTTTCTTCTGTTGGGATCTCTGTTATGTGGACGGATAATTAGATCCCATTCCCCCCAAGACCTCTGCTGGTTCCTCTTTGCCCTTCGCCTTATTCCCAGCCTACCGGTTCTAGGCAGACCCTTGGAACTGGAGAAGGGATGGCGCTGTCCCTTTAACCCCGTTTTACTGGAAGGAGAGTGTGCTGGGGAGGATGCAGGAGGGGGAAGGGAGTTTCTGGTTTTGCTCGGAGAAGCAGAACATGATGAAGCATTTCTCCCATTTAAAGGTCCAGTCATGCTCCAGTTTGCAAAGGGGGAGCAGGGCTTGTTTACAGATGATGCTGGGAATTTGAGGTGAATGGCTAGTTTGAGGCATTGGAGAAAGACGTGGGGTGAGGGGGGTATGCTTACATGACTCCCCACTTTTTCATTCTGCTTGGAATTGTGCTGTTAGATCCTTGTTCTCTTGAGTCTCTTTAGTCGTTTGCAGAGCACAGATACTTTCTCGGTCTGGAAAGGCTGACAAGCAGCTGGCAGCAAGGAGAAATGATTTGGGGGGGCTGGAGTAAAAGGGAGAGAGTAAGATGGATTTGCTGGGACTAAGGGACCACAGCCATCCCAGTGCAATGGCCTATGAATTCCAAGAATCTACGTGATTTTTGCGTCTGGAAAATTGTCATGAGGGCTGTGAAACCTTCAGTTCCCCTAGAAGGCCCTTTGGGCACCCCTGAAAGCCGTCGTTAGCCTCCTTCATCCCATATTTAGTTAATTATCCCCTCCTGGGTGTTCTTATGGTCTCCAGTGATAAATCCTGGTACTGCACTTACCAGGTTGTGCTGTTATATGAATAACAGAATGTATGAATTATATCAGTTCTCCAGCCAGACTTGTGATCTAAAGGGCACTAGCAATGATTCTGACTAAATCTTTGGAATTTGAATCACTGTTAACCTCCCTCCCTACAATTCTTACCATTTGGAAGTGAGTAGAACAACATATTCATCCATCCATCAGTTGCCTTTTGAGCATCTATTATGTGATAGGCACACACTAAACTCAGAGATACAGAGCCCCACAAATCCCCTATTGTCTCCTTGAGACAAGGATTTTCAGTTCCTTCCGAAATCTCAGCCCTGCATTTCCCAAGGCACTTTCAGGGTGATGCTAAGTGCTATGGTTTGGATCTTGAATGCCCTGCATGTGTTCAGGGCTTGGTCCTCATGGTACCACTCTTGGAAGGTGGCAGAACCTTTAAGAGGTGGGGCTTTAAAGGATGTCTTTAGACATTATGGGTATGCCCCCAAAGGGACTGTGGGTACCTTGGCCCCTTTTGAGACAGAATCTCACTAAGGTACTAAGTCATATAGGCTAGGTTTAAACTTGAAATCCTCCTGCTTTTTCCTCCAAGAGTGCTTTAGTTATAGGCAAATGCCACCACGCCCAGCATTACGGGTGTGCCTCCAGAAGGGACTGTGGCACCATAGTCCCTTTTCAGACAGGGTCCCTTCTTCCTCTCTGTTATTTCCTAGCCATGAGATGAGTGGGTTTGCTTCATCGTGTACTACTTTTTTTTTGGTACGGGGGATCGAACTTGGGTCCTTGCACTTATGAGGCAGGCTCCAGAATTCATCATATACTTCTGTCTTCTTTTTTTTTTTTTTTTTTTTTTTTTT